AAAAATCAAAGCTTGAATCTTGTCATTTGTATCAAAGACTTAGGATTGGGCCCTTGAATTAACAGGCTTATTTATTTTCCAGAAAACCCCTTCCAGTTATCCTCATCTGAAATAATTCCATTGTGTATGTCATTACAAGCACTCGGATGTTTCATGAAAAAGAGTGTCTTGTTTGACTTGCAACACATCCAAATGCTTGGCCTTGAGGCAATCCTTCCTCATACTTTTCCCTGTGTGCAGTTCTTTCTGTGTCCTTCCAAATTCCTCATAGGGAATTTTTGAAAGGCAGGTCCTCCAGGACTGAATTAATAAAATCAGCCATCTTCAGTGCTCCCTACAGGACCTCCCTAAGTAAAACTCTAAGTAAAACTGTCGTCTCATCACTGCAGGTGCTGGGTGTGAGGTCACAGGGCCAGCTGGCTCAGGGACCCTCCCCATGTACTCCCCCCCCCCCCCCCCCGCTTTCCCCCACCAGCATCAGCATGGGTGTCAGTGTGCCGAGGAAACTATAATGTCCATCGTCTTATAAAAATGGCTCACTTTGCAGGACTCCCCCAGAGGGTCCCAGTACCCTTTCAGAACCTGTTGATTGTGTTTTACAAACCACTGTCTCAATCTTATTAACTGACCAGTGGAATGGCACTGGGCATCCCTCCTGGATAACCAGCTGGCTAACTCCTTCCATGGGGCTTACACCATAGTCTTTGGATAGCCCCAAATTTGCCTTCTGCGCTCCTAGCCCCCATACCCTAGCTGTGAGCACCCAGTTGATGAGCTCATTTCCCAAGGGAGACTAAGTAAATAAGTGGGTGTCTCAGATGCACATCTCCGAGTGCCTCACTCCTCAGAGCTTTCTGTGACTCTGCTGATTTCTGTAGTTTCTTTTCTTTCTTTCTTTGCATAGAAGAAATGGGGGGTGGTGTGGGGGGAGGAGGTGTTCCCCAGAAACAGATTAGGGAGCAGAACAGGCAGATCTACTGAAATCCACTGTTGAAGGGGCAGCTGGTGAGACAGGAGAGGTCTGCTGTGCCATGGGGGTCCGCCCTTTGGGTATGTGTCCAACTCAGGCCATAGAGTGTTAGCCTGAGACTCAACCCCAAGGCTACCAGGGAGGCCCCCACTTCTGCAGTTTCTTCAGGGCTCCCCAGAGACACCTACCCTGTAAAGCTGTCCACCTGTGACCCCGTTTGGGCCTCAAGTCACTTTCTTGCTTCCAGGTCCACTTTCTGGTTACTCACCCCTCTCCCTGTGCCCACAACTCCTTGCTCATCAGCATCGCGGTGAAAGCTGCTTGAGGCCACAGGGCCCTCTGGGGACCCCCTCTCAGCCATGCGGGTAGAACGGGCCTGCCAGGAAGCTCAGAACTAGCAGTTTCCTCTCCCCTGGTTCTCCCGCTCCGCGTGGGAACACACGCCAGAGCGGCGCCGTCGGAACAATCTTGTCAGCTTTCCTTCTCCTCCGCATCCTGTGCCCACCCTCCCTCCGCTTCCGCCTGGGAACCCGGCCCACCCGTGCTGCCGCCAGCCGCCACGGGTCTGCACGAGGACGCCTCCCCCTCGCCATGGCGAGCGGTCTCTCCTGCCCGCAAGGCCGGCAATGTCTTTCTCATCCCCATTTACTGGGTGCGGATTCCCTGCACCCCTTCCATTGCCGCTGCAGCGAATGATTTCCCACCTGCTGCTGTTCTCGGTGCGCGCACGGGGAATAAGTCGTGTATACGTCTTGATGTGCTCCAACGACTCCCTCCCCCCCCCCCCCACACACAAGTTCTTCTACAAGTTAAGTGTCAAGAGCCCTGCGCCTGACAGATTCTCGCGCTGTCTCGGAGGAAGGCCCTCCAGGCTGGGGTGCGCCTTGTTCTCCTTGGACACCAGCGTCTCAGGGACTCTGGCATATTGCTGACTCGAGAGCAATCTGTCACTCCGAAGACACAGATCCAAAATTTCTAAAATATGCAAGATAATATTGAACATTCACAGAGCGCTCTGCGATGTATAAAGATGTACCGCCAGATGTGCCAGTACTTATGGGGACTCTTCAAGCTAGAACGGAGCCCCCCCCCCCCCCCGCGAAGTGGGACAGCAGTCACCCCCGCTGGGCTAAGGGCAGAATGAGGAGTGTGGCTCAGCCTACCTGAGCCCACCTGTTGGTGGAGCTGAGGCCTCACCTGTCACAGCAGTCCTTTCTGTAGTGAAGTTACTCTTGCTTTTACCCCCTCGTTTTTAAAGTATTTTACACAAGCAAACAGAAGAGTCATTTTTATTCAGGACTACAAGTATAGTCCTGAATGTATTACAAATGTTACTTCATTTAATTCTCAGGGGTGGGGGCATCTCCTTGGTGGTGCAGGGTTGAAGTCTCAGCACTATGAAGCTATCGGCAGCCACTGCTGCCCGAGTTCAATCCCTGGCCAGGGAGGTGACCCACATGGCCCAGCAGACCTCTCCTGTCTCACCCGCTGCTCCCCTCAGCAGTGGATTTCAGTGAATCTGCCTGTTCTGCTCCCCACTCTGTCTCTAGTGCACCCTCTTACCCTCACACCTCTGGCCTACAGCCCAGCTCTTGTGTGCAAAAATAAATAAAAATAAATCTAAAAAAAATAAAATCCCAGGAGGCAAAACCATGACCTTAAGGAGAGCAGAGGTGGGTAGCAATGATGCTGTGAGGGCAGATGGCCTCCGCCCAGCTGAGGGCAGGAAGTCGGAGAGGGCCCTGAAGGGCAGGGAGTGAAGAACAGAGCAGCCTGGAAAAGAGGAAACAAGATCCCCCGGGCAGCGGAGGGTGTGTTTGGGAACACTGGCCTGGAGTCCAACCAATCCAGTGGTGATCTGAAGGAGTGTCAGTTGCTTCCAGAAAACTTGGTCTATAAAGATGAAACCAGTGACGTCAGGGCCACAGAGGTATGTGTCCCTGTCCAGGCTCGTCCCTGAAACTGAAAATCCAGCGTTTCCCCAAAGCCCTTTCCCCTGAGAGGATGGCCAGGAGCTCCACTACATTGGGCAGCCCTGGAGACTTTCCAGGGCTCGGCAGGAGTTCCAGCTCAGGGTTTCAGGTTCCAGGATCACAGCAAATTGTGACACGCGATTGCCTCACCCGCCGCACCTTTATTTAACAAACGGTCAGAGTGTTCAGCCAGAAAATAGACTGGTGACCAGAAACAGCCACAAATGCCTCAGCACCCGAATTCCTTATCAACCTTGTCCCCATGTTTAAGATCTATTGGAAAAGAGACAAGAGCCAGGGGCCTGCCTGGTGGCCTAGCGTTGAGCCTCAGTGTTGTTACTGCTTTGGCCTGAGTTCAACCCCTGACCAGGGAGCTGACCCACATGGCGCAGCAGACCTCTCCTGACTTACCCGCTGCTCCCCTCAGCAATGGATTTCAATGGATCTGCCTGTTCTGCTCCTACTCTGTTTTTAGGGAATCCCCTCCCCCACAGGCCACCCATCGTATACCCCAGTTCTTTGACATAAAAAAAAAAGAGAGAGAAAGAAGAGGTCGAGCTACAATGTATGATGTATTTCTTTTTAAATTTTCCCCAGTTTTTTTTATGTATTTATGCATACAAGAGTTGGGGTGCAGGCTAGAGGTACAGATTCAGAGGTGAGAGGATTCACCAGAGACAGAGTGGGGAGCAGAACAGGCAGATCTACTGAAATACACTGAGGAGGGGAGGGGGGAGGGGGCAAGGTCCATGTGGGTGAGCTCCTGGGAGTAGCAGTGGCTGACTACACCTTGATAGTGCTGAGACTTTAACCCTTGTGCTACCAGGGAGGCCCCAACTGTGATGTATTTCTGTGTTGTGAGCTAACCATGGGGTGCATGGATCCAAGCACTGCAGGTAACCTGTGACCCTGACAGGGTCTGCTTGCCCACATCTTCCATTTGGGGGAGGAGGGGAAAGCACAGGAAACGCACATACCCCTGGGGGAAGAAGACTCTTGGCTAGGCCAGCACCTCACAGAGTAGCTACTTCGAGGCAGGGGGTAGAGGAAGCACCCTTACAGAGGAGATGCTTCAACAAAGCTGTCAATCCCAGAAAGAACTGGGGCAAACATCTTCCAGGAAGGATAGAACAAATGTGCAGGTATGTTTCATAAAATAAAAAAGGGGCACTTGCCAGATGGTCCGGCCACATCTGGACCATCTGTAAATTGGGGTCCATGCTACAGACTCCCTGACCGGACATGACTGGCCTGAATGTGCCTCCTAGAATTCCTGTTGACACCTGGTGCCCAGTGTGGCAGGACTTGGAGGTGGGCAGAGGAGAGGCCCTCAGGTCATGAGGATAAGCCTTCAGGGGTGGGTGCCACGTGCAGACAGGCGGGGCCCACTAGACACATTTGTAGGTGTCTTGCCCTTGGACTCGAAGCCCCCAGAACTCTGAGAAATGACTGCTGTTAGGGAAGCTTCACGGTCTAATGTAGTTCATACAGCAGCCGGGAGGGACCAAGGCAATAACAGCAACATGTGTGTTGGTACAGTTGGATTGGCTGCTGCCAACCCAGCTGGGCCCACCCTGCTTGGAGTTCAGAACTGGAGCTTCCTTCTGACCAGTGTATCTACTACTTACTATCGAAATTCTGGGTGTTTCTTCTCATTGCAAGTAGCAATCCCATGGCAGCATTCCATTGTAATTCTAACCATAGTTAAGTTGAATTGTGCACTTGTAGGAAATATTTTAAATTTTTAATGTGTATCCTCTGATTAGCATCGGTGCAGTGACTGCAGCACTGGTCACGGCACAGTGACCAGCTGGAGCATCACTCACTCCCGAAACAGCCCACAACTGGCAGGGAGTCCTCTTCACCCAAGGAAACATGTCTGGATTAACTGTGCTTGAGTTCTAAGATGTGCACGCTTCCTCAGGCCCACTGGACAACAGCAGAGCATGGCAGGCGTCCACCAGCACTGGGTGTATCTGAGCTCCTTTCTTTGGCTTTGCTCCTCTACTAGCTGATGATCCTCCCTGGCTCCAGGAGATGCACACCTGCTTCAGGGGATGGTGATGATGGTGGTGGTGATGGTGATGATGGCGGTGGTGATGATGGCGGTGGTGGTGGTGGTGAACGTGATGATGGCGGTGGTAATGATGGTGGTGGTGGTGATGGTGATGATGGCAGTGGTGAAGGTGATGATGGCAGTGGTGGTGGTGGTGAAGGTGATGATGGCGGTGGTAATGATGGTGGTGGTGGTGAAGGTGGTGGTGGTGAAGGTGGTGATGGTGATGATGGCGGTGGTAATGAGGGTGGTGGTGATGAAGGTGGTGCTGGTGGTGATGGCGGTGGTGGTGATGTACTTGCTACTTGTGGAGCACAAAGGATGTTAGATGGTTCGCAGGTCTGCCCACAACATCTCCTGCCAACTGATATCCATACATCTTATAACAACCCTGTGGTCTCTCTCTTAAGAGAGAGTTTCCCTTGAATCTGGGCTGGGCTTGTGAGTTGTTACAATCAGTAGAATGTTGTCAGAAAATCTCCATGTAAAGTAAAAGGCCAGAGCCCAGACCTGACAAGTCCCGGAGCTTTAGCCCTCACTGCCAAAATGGTGCTCCAGACCAGCTTGTAGAGAGCTCGAGCTTCCCTTCCACGTGGGGAAAGGCCCTGGGACATGGGACCCCACCCTTCAGGCTGTTCCATCAAGTCCCTAGATGGGTGAAAAGCCACATGCATGAACCTCTGAGTCTTGAGAGAAATAATTCTGGGCTTAAGGTCTTAAATGCTGGGATGGGTTTTTGGCACTGGTAGGTGATCTAGGAGTTCTAAGTGCTTTATATTCTAAGTATCTAAGAGCACCATGCTTAGAAACTGGTGAGCTGACACCAGTTGGAATGACCTGATGTTATACATAAGAGACTTGGAGCACAGTTTAAGTGACTTGCCTGAGATCACAAGTGAAGCAGCACATCAAACCCTCCCTTCTGCCCTCAGAGCCTGTTTATCTTACTCTGTCATTCCAGGTAGACATCTTGATTGTATTCTATGATGATGTGTGAAGTGTCTTTTAAAATCCAAGTCAAGGTCCTCCCTGGTAGCCTAGGGCTTAAGTGTCAGATGACCCACCAGGACAGCCAGAGTTCCATCTGATCCCAGGCCAGGGAGCTGATCCACAGGGTGCAGCAGACCTGGCCTGTTTCTCCCACTGCTTCCCTCAGCAGTGGATTTCAGTAGGTCTGCCTGTTCTGCTCCCCACTCTGTCTTTGCTGAATTCTCTCACCTCTGAATCCATACCTCTGGCCTAAACCTTAGCTCTTGTATGCATAAGTAAGTAAGAATGATTTAAAAAAAAAATATTTATGTGGGGGCCCTCCCTGGTGGCGCAGCAGGTTAAAGCACAGCATTCAGAATCTAAAGCCACTTCCGCATGAGTTCGATCCCCGCCTGCCCCGGAGGTGATCCACATGGCAGGTCAGACCTCTCCTGACTCGCCCGCTGCTCCCTTCAGCAGTGTACTTCATCAGTCGGCCTGTTCTGCTCCCCACTCTGTCTCTGGTGAATCCTCTCACCACCCCTGTACCTCTGGCCTGTACCCCATTTCTTTATGAATAAATAAATAAAATCTTAAAAAAAATTATGTGTACGGAACTGGGGTATAGGCCAGAGGTTCAGGGTTGGTGAGAGGATTCACCAGAGACAGAGTGGGGAGCAGAACAGGCAGATCAACAAGTACACTGCTGAGGGGAGCAGAAGGCGAGACAGGAGAGGTCTGCTGCACCATGTGGGTCACCTCCAGGGTGGGGGATTGAACTCGCACTGAAGTCGCTGCAGCTAGCTTGCAGTGCTGTGTCCTAACCTGAGGGACTGAATGAGTCTTTTTTTAAGTTTTATTTATTTATTCATACAGAACTGGGGTACAGGCCAGAGGCTCAGGGCCGGCAAGAGGCTTCACCAGAGACAGAGTGGGGAGCAGAACAGGCAGATCAACGAAGTACACTGCTGAGGGGAGCAGTGGGCGGGCCAGGAGAGGTCTGCCACGCCATGTGGTCACCTCCTGGGCAGGCGGGAATCGAACTCATGCGGAAGTGGCTTTAGCTTCTCAGTGCTGTGCTTTAACCCGCTGCGCCACCAGGGAGGGCCGAAAAGTCTCTTTTTAAAAAAGGAAAATGTGGGCCCTCCCTGGTGGCGCAGCGGGTTAAAGTACAGCACTGAGAAGCTAAAGTCACTTCAGCATGAGTTTGATCCCCGCCCCGGGAAGTGACCCACATGGTGTGGCATACCTTCCTGACCCACCCACTGCTCCCCTCAGCAGTGTATTTCATCAGTTGGCCTGTTCTGCTCCCGCTCTGTCTCTGGTGAATTCTTTCACTGCCCCTACACCTCTGGCCTGTACCCAGGTTCTATAAATAAATAAATAAATAAATCTTTAAAAAAAAAAGGAAAATGTTCTATTTTTTAAATTTGAAACAGAGTTTTGATGTCATTGATAGTTCACATTCTCCATGAAACATTACTTCTGCTTTAAAATTTAAACAATATTTTGTCTCCTAGTAACTTCCTGAAATTTTTGCATAATGGAATTTCCCACTCTGGAATGTATATTTGGTCAAGAAAATAAAGATGACTCTTTGAAGAAGACCTAAGTTAATGCAATAAAGCTATAGCATATAAATCAGATAAAAATGCAAGTTTGAAATGAAAGATTTTTTGGACCCTGCCTGTGGGCTTCCTGCAGAAGTTACTGTGGCCGGCTCACTCACATAGTCATTTACATTACACTTCCACATTCCTCTGGTTTTACTTCTTTTTACTTTAATCAGATTCTGTGAGTTGTTGGGGAAAAAAAAATGAAAGAAGTAGAAGACTCCAAAACTGAAGCAAGCTCTAGGAAGCCGCCTTCTCTGGACTCTGGAATCTGCAAGGTATCCCCAGGACCCTGGGTCCCTGCTTCCCCGTGCTGGCCAGAGTTGCCTTCTGTGGCATTCTGGGCCGTTCTCCAGCTGTCAGACAGCCCTCCCAGCGGACACAGACTCAGAGCAAGACAGGGCTTGCTCCCCAGCAGCTCACAGGCTTGTAGCCTGCCTTTAGGGGCACAGTGTGGAGTCTGCATACCTGCTCACCCTGTAATTAACTCTTGCTCTTGCAATAGGAGTCTCACCTCCAAAGGAACTCAGTTAATGAGTTTGTATCTTCTGTTAAATCACTAAGCTCTGGAAGTAGTTGATTTTTAATTTACAGAAAACATTGCACAGCTATTTAGTAGAATACCTGAAGTCTGTTAATGAAGTTTGGGGGACTGGAGCTGGGATCTTTGGGTTACCTGTGAGAAAATTTCAGCAGAGTTTCCCTGTCATTGGCACAAGAGATTTTGCATAGTCACAGGCAATAGGACAGCTGCCTCTCTCCAGGGCAGCAGCAATTATATTTATGGAGTGTTCTTTTTTTCTGGAAGGGGGTCATTCCTTTGTGGGGTTGTTATGTATTATTAATTCTAGGGTGTGAGTAGGTTGATTTGTAAGGACCAGGATGCTCTACAATGGCCTCCATCTCCACATCCCACCTCTGGTCTGTGCGTCCAGACACTTCCTGTGGCCTCTGACACTCCTGCAGCCGTTGGGCCTAAGGGTCTTCATTCCTATAGTTGGTTTAAGGACCATAGTCATCATTTCTACCCCCACCTCCAGTTTGTGGCCTTGTGACACCTCTATCCTACACGCTGTACTCTTAGCCACCATCCGTACCTAGAATATAATAATATCTCTGTGACGTCTTCAAAGATCATGTTACCAAAAGTTTGAAAGCCTAAATAACTTAGTAGCAGTTGTAATCCACACATTATATACCCTGTGATGTGCTAAGCACTTGGATGCGTCACTTGCTCACTCAACACCTACTGCCTCCCATGTGGACTGTTCTCAGTGCTGAGGAACATCAGTGAGCAAAGCAAAGCCACTAAAATCACAAGCTTATATTCCAGCAGGAAACAATCGACAATTGAAGAAGGAATGCATACAGCATGCGTCAGGAAGATGGAAGAGCTGTGGGGTATTACGCAGACAAGGGTGTGAGTCTCATTCAGGAGATAAGTTGATACATGGCTCTCGGGAATGTTTGTGACTGAGCTCTGAGCAAGTATTTATTAAGTATTTTTGTGGCCCACTGGTTCAATCCTCATGGTAGACAACTTACATTACTCCCACTTTTTAAGAGAACCGGGCTTGAAAACATAAGGAAAGTTGCCTACAGTGACACTCTTTACAAGGCAGCCAGGATTGACTCTCTTTTCAGGCTTGCTTTGAACCACCTTCCTCCCATGGAGACACCGAATTTTCCATTCTAAGAAGGTGTCTTTGTGGTTAGGCTGGAGCTAGCTAATAGTACAATCAATTATGTTGTCATATTCAAAAGGAAAAGCAATTTGGGAGGGAAAAAGTAAAGGAAATTGGGCTTAATTAATAAACAAAAGGGAAAAATTCATCTGCACCCCTAGTGAGAGATGCAAAGGAGATAGGCATGACTTTGTAAGTTGGGGCTCTCGGGGCACCAGACGAAAGATGTCCCTGCTAACCCGGAGGCAGGTGCTGAAAGCTGGCCAGGCCAGGCAGTTCCTGGTTGCAGAGGAGAAAGGGAATTTGCAGTTGGGCCCCTCTGTCCTCAGCACCAAGGTCAGTGTTTACAACAGACTATAAAACTGGTTGGTCACAAGCTTAATTTACATAAAGATGGGTCCTGCTGGGAGGGGCCACCCTCTCCATCTGCCACCAGCCTTGGGCTGCCCACACCCCACATTGCTCTGGCTGAAGTCCTGTGGCTGCAGGGAAGGGGGCCTGGCCCTGTGCTGTGTTCTCTGGCCACTCCAGACTCCAGCAGGCAGAGCTGCCTCCATGTTGACTCCAGGGAAAGTGAACCCACACACCCCAGCAATCAAAGGGAAGATTATTTTATTTAATACCAGGGAGCGATGTTTTTCTTTCTGCCTCCCGGTCCAGAGAGGAAAAGCAGGACGAGTGACTTGGGTTGTAAACACGAGGTCCAGGCCCTTCTGTGGCCCTGGGCTCTCAGGTTCTCAGGAGGTGCTACCAGGAGCCAGAATTAGTGGGGTGATCACTACAGGGGTGGGCCGTGCAGCTGAGAGTCCAAACCCCCTCTACCCGCCCCCACCCAACCCCCTCATTCCTGGCCACTCCTGCCTCCCCTCCTCTCCCTGCCCTCCCAGAGGTCCCCCCTTTCCTAGCTTCCTCCTCCTCTTAATGTACACCCCTGCCCTCCCCCAAACCTCCTTTTCCAATCCCCCCTCTCCTGGCGATCCAGGGGCTCCCCCTCCCCTCGGGGCCCCTTCCTCGCTCACTCCTAGGGTTGCCCTCACTCCTGCCCCACAGGGGGTGCACTCTCAAGAGTTGCCCCCCCTTCCGGACCCCAGGGGTTCCCCTCTCCTCCTCTCCAGCCCTTGAGTTTCCCCTCCCCCACTTTGCCCCCCAGGGGCTGCCCCTCCCCTTGTGCTGG